AGAATTATTGATATATTTATCAGAATCGAAGAGCCTAATGTTCTCTGTTTGTCCAAATAATTAGTTATTTGTTCAAATAATCACTTCTTTGGTAAATCTAAAGAGTTTTAAACTCTAGAGAAATTAAAAATAGTCCATTATGACTTTAGATAATTATTTGGTTTGTTATTTATCATGTTATAGGAGATAAATTTATTTCTTATACATATATAAAAGTATGTGAGATTCATGTGAGAAAAGAGAGAGAAAGAAAATATGGATCTTATAAATTTATATATATATATATATATATATAAGAGATAAAAATTATCTCCTGTAACATGAAAAATAATAAACCCATAATTATTTCATGTTTTAAAAGCAAAATCCAAACCCTAAATACTTATTTTCGAAAGAAAGAAAAAGAAGTAAAAGTAGAGAGTAAGGGAGGAAAAGAAAAAGGAGAGTAAATGAGAAAACAAGTGAAAAAGCTTATAGTTGAATTGTGGGGTCTTGAGGAGAACTTTTATGTGCTCGAGGAGAATATGGTCCCCCACCAAAAATAGAAAAAAGTGAGATATGAGTGTTAATAAATATAAAGGCAAGGATAGTATAAAAATATTATTTTTTACTATATTTGATAAAAGGAAGCGATAAGAAGAAATTCCCATCAACCAATAACCATAGAGTAACTTGCAGAAAACAAGTGAGCTAAAGTGTTAGAAGTTGAAATTTATCATCTTAACGTAAGTAAAAATCACCTTGTGGCATAGAACTTATGTAGTGGTTCTTAACATGCTTTAGAAGTGAGAAAGATAGGGATGCAAGAAAAATATTGTATACCACCAATGTGCTAGTGACAGAAAATTAATTAATGAGAACATGTGATAAGCACATGCTTGGGACAGCTTAAAATTCAAACCTTAATGGATTTATAGCTTTATATCTCAAATTAAGGTTTTTAGAAAAGGAGAAAACAATAAACTTAAGAAATATAGATTAGTATAGTTCTGCGTGCCTAAAAGGAGATAGTGTGTCAAACCACCAAGCTTGGGTGGAAAACTAGGTTTGAAGGGTATTCTCTTGTAACCTACTCATTTGCTTTAGTCCAAACTATAATATGTGCATGTAAAGAAAAAACCAAAGATCTACTATTTGTGAAAAAGCTACTTTTTAATGAAGAATGTCCTTTTGATCACGAAATGGTTTGGGGCTTTATTCACAATTAGTGAATGACAATGTTCTGAATCATATTGTACATGATTCACGTGCCTGAACTTTATGGGAAAAGCTTGAGACGTTGCATACTTGCATGCCACTGAATTAATCTAGGAACAATAAATTGTTTTCGGTGAAACTGGCTATATAAGTGTTAGATTTTTTCTCCTAAATTATTATAGTAGGTAAATGCTTACATATGAATGCTCCCAAACTTTTAATCGAATAACCAAATAGTGGTAGCTCAGTTGGTGCATTGGAGTTGAGCAGGTAAAGGTGAGAGCATGTGTTCGATCCTCCCAGTATCACCTTTGAGAAGAGTTTAAAACCTTAATCATAAACCCACCCTGAATCAGACTAGTAGCGAAGTTATGAACAGATGGGAATATTTAAAAAAAAAAAACTTTTAATCGAATTGGTTCAAATCGAATTGATTTAGACGATTTTTGGTAGCTTTTGTCGGCAACTGTTGTTTTTAATGTTGACATGTTTCTTCACTGTTCATTTGATCGAAAGCATTCAATGAAAAGCATGAATGCAATATCTCAAATTGCGATACTATTCATTTGGAGGCATATTATAGGAATTGTTCGAATGCAATACCTCAAGAACCGTGAACACAAGTTGCACATGGAGATGTTGTTCGAATGCGGGAAGATGTTCCTAGAAAAAGACACCCTTGCTCATTTGTTCAAATCATCCCATCGAAGCATCGACGCATTATGAGAGAGAGAGTTCTTAAGTGAGAAATAGTTTGACCATATAGGTGAGAGATAAATTCTCCAAGTGAGAAATAAAGTTGTGCAAACCATCTTTAGTGGATGAGGTGTTTGTGTGTAAACTTACACTCTTGTACTTTCATAGTAAAAGTTTTCTTGAACTTCGTGGTCTCGTGATTTGTACTCCTCACGTTGAGGAGATTTTTAACGTGAAAATTTTTTTGTGTTCTCTGTGTGTTATTTTTCTACTTCTTTATTTTTCTATCTTGCCATAGATTTACTTCTCTTTCGCCAATTAGCAGTGGCGGAGCCGGGCTCAAATTTGAGCTCGGGCCAAAAAATTATACGTGTATTTATATTTCTTAATTTTAGTTAGTTCATATTATAATATATTTAAAGGAAAATAATTGTCTTATGTCACAAAAGACAACTATCTTATGTTGCATATTGAATCTTGCGCCCATTTTTTTTTTTTAACTATGAGTCCCCCAACTTTGTTTCACCCACATCAGATAACTATCTCATGTGAGATAAGATTAATAACTCCCATATTTAAATTGGGGGAAAATCCTTTTATAAATTTTTTTTTGCAAATTTTTTTAAATTATACTATATACTCCTGAAAATACATAGTGTTACCTAGTGTACTTCCAGGAGTACATAGTGTAGTTTGTAAAAGTTTATAAATAAAAAGTTTGTAAACATAACCATCCCTATTAAAATTATATTAAATATAGAGCACCTAAGTAGGCAATACCAAGAAGAATTATAATTTTATTAAATATTTTTTTCATACAAATAAAAATTGAACACATAATCTAATACAACTTACTCAAATCTCTTACCAAAAATATTTTAAGTTTGAGATAGGGCAAAAATACAAATTGTAGCCCGGGTCAAATTATAATTTTAATTCGGACCAAATTATAATAATTATATAATTACATATAATAAATATAATTTGTTAAAATTTAGTTCGGACCGAGGCCATAAGCAGGATATACCTGACTCCGCCACTGTAGGTAAACACTAGGTTCGGACGTCATGAAAGAGGCGTGCACGCAGAGGAATCAACGAAACGCCCAAATGGGCAAAATAAAACGTTTCCAGCTTCAAAGAACTTATGAGAAGCAAATATACAGCGAATAAAAAATATTCCATCTCTAAATAGACAAGAGGGAAAAAAAACTTTTAATGTGAAAACTAGCTCCTTTTAACCACTAAACCTAGTATAAAAAAACCAGTATCGTGAAAAAATAATGAGTATAGCAAAGTGTCTTACAGGACCAAAAATTAAATCAAAATAAAAAAAGTAACGTTATTCAATATTGTGCTTATTGCAGACGATATTGTGCTTATTGATGAGAGCAAGGAGGGTGTTAATAGAAAACTTGAATTGTGGAGAAGCACATTGGAATCCAGAGGATTCACATTAAGTCGAAGCAAGACTGAGTATCTGAAGTGTGAGTTTTCTCTGGTACAAGATGAGGACCAAGAACCTGTGCATCTAAATGGTCAAGAGGTACAAAAAAAAAATGCTTTTAAATACTTGGGCTCCATTTTACAAAATGGTGGAGAGATTGATGAGGATGTAAATCACAGAATCAGAGCAGGGTGGATGAAATGGCGTAGTGCATCTGCATTTTTGTGTGACCGCAAAATTCCCCTGAAGTTAAAAGGAAAATTCTATAAAACAGCAGTACGACCGACAATGCTATATGGAGCGGAATGCTGGCCAGCACATAGGCAACATGAGCATAAGATGGGAGTAGCAGAGATGAGGATGTTAAGGTGGATGTGTGGGTACACAAGGATGGATAAGATAAGAAATGAAGATATTCGACGAAAGGTCGGAGTAGTACCGGTAGCCGAGAAGATGAGAGAACATAGATTGAGGTGGTTTGGGCATGGATGCTCCTGTAAGAACAGAAGTTTGTTACCAAGAGCTAAACACAAAAAGAGGCAGAGGTAGGCCGAAGCTTACTTGGGGAAAAGTAGTAAAACAAGATTTAATGGAGTGGGATATAGATTGGCGGACAGTATGTCTTAGAAAGGAATGGAGAAAAGCTATAAGTATGGTGGAGGGTTGACCCGCTGTTATTCCTATGTTCCAGATGGTCCTTTTTTAGTCCTTTTCCCCTTCATTTCCCCCACTTCTTCTTGTCCCTTTCTTTTTTACTTTTATTTATTTATATATACATATATTTTTATTTTATTTTATTATTTTATTTGTGTATTTTTATTTATTTATTAATTTATTCATTTATTTATTTTTTATTTTTTATTTTTTTTGTTACTTTTTTTCAACCATTTTGTATCTTTCATGTGGGTTCATCTACCACCGACCCTAATTAATTTGGGATAAAGGTGTTGTTGATGTTGATTCAATATTAACAAAGTGAAAATTAACAAGACAACAACTCACCAAAGCCTACAAAAGATACAAATAACGATGAAGAAACAATAATTTAACCGTATAAATAGAACCGCAATTTACCAAAATAAAAATAAAAAACAGAACCAAACATCATACTTAAAAAATATTTAAATAAAAACACAAACAACATCTAAACTTGACAAACACTTCATCTAAACTTGACAAACAGTACCCTACGTGACATTTATCGAGTCATTGCTTATCTACAAATATAATATTTGATAAACACTGCATCTAAACTTGCAATGAACCTACAACATCATTGTTTATATATGTGTTAAAGTAACTGCAATATATTTTAGGGTAAAGTTGAGGAATGAGCATGTGGTTTACTCCAAAATCACTTATGTCCCTGTGGTTTTTCTGTATCACATATACTCCTGTGATTTGTAAAAAATAAAAAATCACAGAGACATATGTGATAAAAAAACATACTATTTTACAAACCACATGAACATATATGATAAAAAAAACCCACAGGACATGGGTAATTCTGGAGTAAATCAAACGGGCATTCATGAATTTTTCCCTATATTTTACCAGGTAAATTGTACACATGAAAAACACGATATCATTTATCGAGCTTGCCTTATAAATAGACTCAAGTAATGTTATGTTCCATACCACAAATCTAGCTAGTAGTTCAGGCAAGAAAATCATGGAATCGCAAAGCAAAGTGCATGCTTCCAAATTGCTTAGTGCTCAAACACACATATGGAATCACATTTTCAGCTTCATAAACTCTATGTCCCTTAAATGCGCAATTGACTTAGGCATACCAGAAGTCATTCACAACTATGGCAAACCCATGCCACTCTCACAACTTATTGCTTCACTATCAACCCACCCTTCCAAAACCTCCTTCATCTACCGCTTGATGCGAATGTTGACCCATTCTGGCTTCTTTACTCAACAGAATACCATCGAGAATGAGCTAGAAATGGGTTATGTGCTCACTGATGCATCTTCCCTACTTCTGAAGGACAATCCCTTAAGTCAAAGGCCTTTGTTGCTTGCCATGCTTGATCCAATTTTGACTATGCCATGGCAACAGTTTCCTACATGGTTTCAAAATGATGATCCTTCGCCGTTTCAGATGACACATGGGATGAAAATTTGGGATTATGCTGGCCATGAGCCAAGACTTAATCACTGTTTCAATGATGCCATGGCAAGTGATGCTAGATTGGTTGCAAGTGTTGTAATTGAGAGGTGCAAGGGAGTGTTCAATGGATTGGAATCACTTGTAGATATTGGGGGAGGAACTGGCACTATGGCTAAGGCCATTGCCAAATCATTCCCACAACTTGAGTGCACTGTATTTGATCTTCCACATGTTGTTGCTGATTTGAAAGGAATTGACAACCTTAAATATGTTGGAGGAGACATGTTTGAGTCAATTCCTTCTGCTAATGCCATTTTACTTAAGGTAAAATATATGGCCTTTTTTTTTTGTTGCAAAATTAAAAATATAATATGATGTAGTAATTTTACTAAGATTAACATGATTCAGATGATCAAAAGTTGCTTTAATTGACATGCATGCAGTGGATATTGCATGACTGGAATGATGAGCAATGTGTGAAAATATTGAAGAAATGCAAGGAGGCAATCACTAGCAAAGGCAAAGAAGGAAAGGTGATTGTAATAGACATGGTGATGGAGAATGAAAAGGAAGATAATGAATCAATTGAAACGCAGCTCTTCATTGATATTCTGGTGATGGTGTTGTACCCTGGAAAAGAGAGGAATGAGAAAGAATGGGCCATGCTGTTTTTCTCTGCTGGTTTCAGTGACTACAAGATAACTCCAATGCTGGGCTTAAGGTCTCTCATTGAGGTTTATCCATAGTAACTTTTTATTTCTTAATAAAGCCTAACATCACCACTAGAAAAGTGGTATGAGAGGGTCATCACTCTTAATTTTCAATTTATGCTCCTTTCATTGTTTAGTAATTCATCTTGTCAACATGTGTAATCCCTATAGGGTTTAATAGTTTTGTTTTTCCTGTATAAGTTTTTCTCTATCACATTCACATAAAAGTGAGTGAGTCTCATTATAAAGAGAAGAGATAAAAGAAATTAATAGGACTCGCCCACTTTTATGTGAGTATGGAAGAGAAAAAATTTATGCAAGCAAAAATATTTTTCCCATCTCTGTAATGGCTGCAATAATAATGTGTCTACGTATCACGTTAGTGTTATATTTATAAAACATTATGTCCCATCAAATTATTCGAAACACATTCAATTTTAATTTGTCAAAAAACCTATTTATAACCTTGTTATATATGTGTCCCTTATATTTCTAGTGCTTAGGCTGTTAAGATAGGGACCTATTATTTTGGTTCATAATAGTTTCCTTACAGCTCTACAATTCGAGAACTCGGACTTCTGAGGTGCAGAGATTCGTCATGAGTGTCAACCCCGTCGGGCTGTCTAATTTAGCCACCTTAATGGATTCTGACCGATTTGATAGTGAGCACCGAGGTTGATCTTATACTTGGCTGAGGTGTATAATGTTCCTCGCTTGGGTTAGCCGCGCGCGATTCATCAATTGTTCATATCTCAAGTTCGGCAGGTTAGAGTCGATCTTGAGCCGAAATGGACCTCTTGGCACAGAGATGCCAAAGTTGGGCTTGGATCCTGCTCTTTACGCGGTTAGGGGCTAATACATAAACACAAGAGGGGTGAGTTGTGTGTAACTTCTTTTGCAAGAAACAATGTAAATCAACTCCTCTTTTCAAGAAAACATGCAAAAACAAAACTGATTAGTAAATAAACATTCCCAACTCAAATACAGATTTAAAACATCATGTATAATATATCAAGTTTGAGTTATATGCAGCGGAATTAAAGAGACAGGGAATGGAAGCAGTGTTATGAAACTCAGACCGACGTGGCCGGGTCGACCCGGGAACCGGTGAACCGGTCCGGTTGAAGCAACGAAACGGTTATGCATCAGAACCGGTGCGACCCGGTCCAACCCGGCCAGTTTTCATGAAAATCGGTGACCTGGTCGGTTAACCAGTGACCTGGCCCGATCCCAAAAAAAATCAATTTAAAAAAAAAATCATAATGGACATATTTGAATATTTTTTTCTTTATTGACTTACTTAAGTTATGTACCTACAACATTAATATTATCTCAATTATGCACTATGCAAAAAATTTTGATTTGGTTTATAGTTAGAGATGTCATTTTTTTAACCTAAAGTCCTGTATCACGATCATTATATTTTTGTTTGATCTTTTATTGGATAATAATATGTCATTTAATATTTTTTATATTAAAATATTTGAATTTTTTATCATTTTTTTAGATTTTTGAGTATGTTTATAATTTTTTAATATAAATTATAAAATTGCATATAATTACCGGGTCATACGGTTGAACCAGTGACCCAGTATCTCGACCGGGTCATTGACTGGGCCGGTTTTAATAACATTGAATGGAAGAGAAGACACAGTAATATATCTCGGTTCACCCTCTATGAACTTGAGAGCTACATTCAAACTAACGTTGATCGTTCCACTATTATCAAGATTCCAACCGGTGCTTGAAAAATCATTTTACAATGGAATTTTTACAAGATCTATGATCATATCTTTGATCTCACTCAACCTGTCACCTATAGGATCTCTCCAAAAAAAAACCAATCGCATTTATTGAAACCACCTTTTTAAAATAGCAAAGGAGAAACCTCTCCTTGTTCTAAATCAACAAAAAGATCATAAAAAGATTAAGAAAAGAGAAAGTAATTGAGTTGTTTCTCAAGGATGTACAAAATGAGCCTAAATGGGGTCAATTCTTGATTTTTAACATTATGGTGTTTCCCAGTGCTAATCTTGTGTTCATAACCCGTAACATATGTATTTATAGCCTGTGGACATCTAATTAACAAATTACTTAAAGTTTAAGTCACTTAAAATAGGGAATAATCAATTACTTCTTCAAAGACATCAAGTGGTTGATTACTATTCATAAGGTAATCAAATACTTCTTCAAAAAAAACCCAAGTAATCGAATACTCAGTGTAATAATTGAATACTTCATGATAGAATGCAACTTTTCTTACTGATTTTTCGATCTAAGTGATTCTTTATGACTTCTAAATGATCCTTAGTGACTTCTAACATGTGTATGATTATGTTTAACACTTATATAACAACTCTTCATGTGTGTGATCTTATATACATGATCAAGGTATATATGTCACTAATGCATGAGTTTAAAACTTCTAAATGCAATGCTCACGTTAAAGGTCAATAAACTCATTCTCTAAGTTTCTAAGACTATACTAAGCTATTACAACAATTTTAGCACAAGTCTGTTGTGATCACGGCAAGTATATCGGTCATTCCAAGTAGTAAAATGATGAGTAGAATATTGTTTCCACGAGGACTAAATTCAAGCAATAATTCACCGCTTTTATCTAAGTTAGACAATTCAAAAATGATTTCAACCAGTAACCAATATTTAATTAAAAATTAAATAAAAGATGCAGACTAAAGAAATTGATTCAAAAGATGAACTTGAAATTATGAATAAAAATGCAGTTAGGTTTACATCACCTTCGGTCCCCCTTAATTGGTTTATCTCAATTCAATAACTTTCTATCCCAATTATTTCAAACAATTCACCGTCTAAGAATTAATTGGTTAAATTTGAATGTCTTAGTTCTTTAAATCTACCCAATCAGAATCCTAATGTCTTAGAATCCTCTTTATTCCTATATGATTGATCAAGTCATACAAGAATTTAAAAATACAAATCAAGGTAAACACTAACAATTTGAGAAAGATTATTATTGAAAAGAAATTAAATGAAAACAAGAATTCACGTCAGATCCATATCGCAAACTACTAAGAAAGTTAGCCAGATATATTCATATCTGGCTTTAACAAAATATCAAAAGAAAATTAAAAGACATTAATCTAAATTTCTGGGTGAAGAATGATGTTGAATCTCCGTGTTTTCACTTCGATCCTTCTTCAGTTCGTTCACCATCTCATATCTCTGAATTCTCTGCTTCTGCGCTCTTCTCTCTTTCCCTGTGTTAGAATCCCCTTTCGAGCTATTCTTCTTTTTCTTTTAATCAAAGAAATTTCCTTAATTTTTCCAAATCAAATCTTCGCTCACAGCCCATCAGATATCATCCCTCTTCTATTAAATCCAAAGTTGCATTTTTCTTAGGGTTTTATAAGAGTTATATTGTAGGAAAAGTGATTGTATTATGTTATAGAGATTCGTTTTGCGTGCCGAAGTTTTTTTTTTTTTTGCTGCGGGCCCCACAAAATGTTGTGTGTGTAGGAAACTTTTTGTGGTCATGTTAAATGATAGATGATAAACCCTTTTTCTTATTAATAAACAAAAAGCTTCCTTTTTGTTTTATTTTAGAGTCAAATCTTCAGCTTGAAATCAATTTCGAAATTCAAATAATACATGGCGCCTTTGGCGCCACTTGTGTGAGAAAGTGGCGCTTTACCCAATAGAGGTTAATTACGCTTGTGCTTCCTGCGCGATAATGAGGGGAACTTGAGACTTTTTGCGTCACTTTCCAGAAAGTTGGGAAACTTGGTGCCTTTGGCGTGACTATGTTAGAGAGATTGGCTCCTTTGGCGCCATGAGCTTTAGACTTGAAAATTAGCGCTTTTCCATTATGCAAGTGCCACTTTCTCGTGCTTTTTTGTAGGCTTTTGGGCTTTCCAATTGATATTTTTTAATAAGAATTTTTTTTACGAAATAAGATGATTTTTGTGAGAATATTAGTGAGAGTAAAATTCCAATTAAATAGGATACCAAAAAAAAAAAAAATCCAATTAAATCACAATTCTTATATCTTTTGGTTGAATTTAGATCAATTAATTACTTAATTTGACCATTAATACATAGAGAACTAAAGGCATATCAAAGTCTTCTTTGATCTTCACTTGTCTTCACGTCTTGAGCCTTCTAGTGCCTTGTAAAGCTTGAAATCTTTGACTTCTAGGTTGACTTTAATATTTGAGTAGACTTATCTTTTTTGCACTTTGATTTGGTCTTCTAATATATCATTTATGACTTGTTGTCGTGACTTCTATGTTATATATCCATGTCGAGTTTGTTGGTACTTTGTAATCATCAAAACTTCACATACAGAGTATTGGTAACCTATGGTTCAACAAAAAATAATTCGGTTTGATTCAGAACCAGTTCAGGTTGAACCTACTATGAAAAGTAAAGAAAAGAGAAAATATAAAGAAATAAAGATAAAAATAAAAAGGCCACTAAATAAATAGAAAAAACAGAGAGAATGAGAGAAATTAAAAAAAGAAGAGAAAAAGGAAAAAAAATAATTCAGCTTACAAACTGGGTTCTTGAACTGGTTTTAAAACCAGTTCGGTTCATAAACTAATTTTTAAAAATCAATTTGGTTCATAAACTGCTTTTTTAAAATTATTTTAAGTGCAGTACAATTCGGTTCAAAGTTCAGTTCAATTTTTTTATTCTTTTGCACATCCCTGTATCTAACTCGATGAGCCAGCGGATCACCGATTTTAATGAAATCAGGCTAAATTACATGGGTCGTACCAATTGATTTGCATCTCCGATCAATTGAGATACCTAGATTGATTACATGACTGTTTTACTGGTTTCTACATTGAACCAGCCGGTTAGGTCCGGATCTACTAATAACATTTGTTTTGTCTCTTTTAAATATGGAAAAATATTTTCTCATGTCGTAGGAGAATTATTTTCTTCTACTAGTGACCCTTCGATTTTTGTGCAATATTTTCTTTTATTTTTTTATTTTTTAATAGATGTGAGCCACACATAAGATGTGTCTACAACATGAAAAAAATTTCTCCGGTTGCATAAGAAAATCAAAACCCTTTAAATATATGTGGTGGTTGTAAAAGGTATTTATTGTCAAATATAATAACATTTTCAATGAAAATATCAATGCATACCCAATCTACTAATAACATTTATTTTTTCTCTTTTGAATATATGCGGTGGTTGTAAAAGTTAAATTTTTTAATAATTTTTTTTTTTTGGAAGATGTAAATTGTCAAATATAATAACATTTTCAACGTATATCAATGCATACCGAATCTATTAATAACATTTGTTTTGTTTCTTTTGAATATATGTGGTGGTTGTAAAAGTTAAAGTTTATA